CCAAAAACCACAAAAAACCCCCCCCCCCCCCCCCCCCCAAAAAAAACAAAACAAAAAAGATATTAACCCTTGCTTATTCTATCCAAAACTAAAAAATAATTATAATTAACACTAATGTTATTGGGGCCCACCTATGTCGTAGTCTACCAAAGGCTTCATCAAGGAAGGTTACTAGTTTTAGGAAAAACAGGACTGCCAGGAGAAATAGGCTAGTCCCATAATTGCTCTGTTTTAGGGCAATGGAGAAAGTTGACATCAGGGAAATTGGAGCACAAACAAGGAGTTTTAAACTGGTCAGTCATTGTGCTCCAGGAAAACAATTTTTCTGGGCTGCTGTGTGCTGCCCTACAAATGTTGATCCAGCTGAAAAAGCCCAGATCTGGAGACTGTCTCTTCATATCTATGGTGGGCTATACAATGGACATGACTTGCTAATCTTTCTGTAGACATAATATTAACATGAATGTATTCTCTTTTGTAGGTCATTGCAGTAGTCATGGATCTTTTCACAGACGTTGACCTTTTATGTGATCTCATAGAAGCAGAAACCAAAAGAAGAGTCCCTGTTTACCTCCTTCTTGATGAAATTAACCTGAAGTACTTTATAGAAATGTTTCAAAAGCTGGGATTTGACAAAATTAATTTACCTGTAAGTTTCAATTGCATAAACATTGAAAAAATATATTTTAAACATGTCTTCCAAAGAGTTTGCCTGTATGCCCAATTTTGGAATGTAATCATGGCTGCCAGATGAGGCCTCCCTGAAGGTGAGGGTATCATGTTCTTTACACACAAGAAAGCTTTTCACACTGAACAATGATTGCACCATTTTGTTCTTTCATTTTCATTTAATATTGATACAGTAGATGAAACCTTTCTTCCTTCAGAGTTGCCTTATCTGGCAGACGCCTTGTACGTGCTGGATGGCAAGGACAATACAATGCATATATCGTTAGCAGAATATTGTAATTAAAAAGGAAGTAAACTTAAGTTGTCACTAACCTGGCAATCCGGAACAAGAATAAGAGCCAAAATAAAAGAAATGTAACTATTCTCATGGTAAGTGTATTCTCATGGTGTGGAATACACTCTCACCCCCCTAGTGGATAGAAGAGAGTCATAGATCAGATCCTCCCTGTTTATAAGATTACTTATGAACAATGAGGTAGAACACCAGTTCTTTGAGCGTGCATGGGGACCCTAGATCTTCTCTACCTTGACGATCCCACTGCTGCCTTGACTATTTTCTTGTGTTTATTGTTTGTATTATTATAAAATTAGAAAACATCATCTTTAAAAAGAAAAAGAGCTTAGGCAGAAGATACTTTTAGTGAAAAATAATCAGTAGATTATCACATATAAGCCTATGAAATTGTAAGCACATTTTGTTTTTAGTATTTTGTAGTACAACTTTGTCCTTCCTTTTTTTCCTGTTGGTGTGGTCTCACTAGCTGGTAGGGAGGCTCAGGAGATGGGAAAGGGTGGAGCCAAGGCAGACTTTCAGTAGTCTAGATAAACCATACTACTCCTGATATTATACTATATAATAATAATATTATTATTGTATTGTGAAAATACATCCCAATTGTTTTCTCTTTGGAAACCAAAGGTTCTTTCTATTCAATTATATTCTACATTTAGGGGTTATGTTTAGAAGAATATGCCTCAGCCCTGAGGAAGGTAAACTTCTGATATGCCAAATCTGCATATCTGTATGTCCTCAAATGGAAGGGCAGAAAGTGAGAAAAAAATTTGTTCATTTTCAGTCAGGGATTCGGAAATTGGTTAAAAGGGAAAACGTTTGTTTATTTCTCCCACCTATTTTAGATTCTGTTTCATTTAACATTAACTTTGATGATTTTTAAAGCAATCTCAGACTTCTAATTAGACAGCCATTTGGTGTATGACAAGCGGCAACTTTTACCTGGTTCACTGGTTCGGCCTCATCTGGAGTATGCGGTCCAGTTTTGGTCACCAGTCCACAGAAAGGATGTCCTTGAGCTGGAAAGAGTCCAGCGGAGGGCAACGAAACTCATTAGGGGAATGGAGGACCAGAGCTATGAGACAAGGCTACTAAATTTAAATATGTTCACGTTGGAAGTAAGGAGATTAAGGGGGGATATTATTTTCATGTACAAGATGTTCAATGGTCATAGCAACATTAGCCACAAACTCTTTACGATTAACTCCATAACAAAGACTGGAGGCCACCACCTAAAATTGGTGGGGAAAAAATTCCAGCACAAGGGGCGAAGGGGGTTCTTCTCAGTTAGAGCGGTTAGGGTTTGGAACTCACTGCCACAGGCCGTGATTTCAGCAAAGAGTGTGGAATCATTCAAGAAGCTTTTGGACGATTTCCTGAGAGACAGCAATGTAGAGGGGTACAGGTACTCTTAAGAATGAGATGCAATAGGTTGGACTAGATGGACTTATGTCTTTATTCAACCTCAAATACTATGTGACATGCTGTATGCATGCATCTAAAGAGCAACTAGTCTTCATCAGAAACCCCTGGAAAGAGGCATGGGATGTATTGTATAACACTCCTGGATTGCATTACTCAGGAATGTATTACTGGCCAAATGCTCCATTCTAGTCCTCTCCTGGTAAAAGATTAGGGTAGACCAGCTTGAGCTAAGCTGCTGGCTGCCCTCAGGTCACTCAACAGATACTCACACTCGTAGAAGAGGGTAGGTGCTAGATAATGAGAAACTGGGCCATTAAAGAGGCATGCGGCACCAGCTAGCTGCAGGTGCAGGGGAAGTGCAGTGGAGGCTAGAGGGTGTCGGTGCAGAGGAGGTGCAGTGAAGCCTAGAGGCTGTGAGTGGAGGGATGGCGCAGTGGAGGCTAAAGTCTGTGAGTGCAAGAAAGGCGCAGCGAGGATTGAGGCTGCATGTGCAGAGGTGGTACAGCGGAGGTTTAAGGCCACAGGTGCAGAGATTGTGAAGTGGAGTCTCAAGGCTACAGGTGTAGAGGTGATGCAGTGGGGGCTTGAGGCTGTGGGTGCAGCCGAGGCTTTAGGCTGAGACTGAGACTGCAGATGCAACAAGAGATACAGTAGAGGTTCAGACTTTGGATACTGCAGAGACTACAGGTGCAGCGAAGGCTAAGACTGTGGGTGAAGTGTGCTGTGGAGGTTCAGACTGGGAATGCAGTGAAACCTGTGACGGTAGTGAAGGGTTGGCTCTGGGTGCAGTGGAGCTTGGCTACAAGTACTGCGGAAACTTGGCGGTAGGTGCAAAAGAAGACTAGACTGCGGCTGTAGTGGAGGCTTGGCTGTAAATGCAGCAGAGACTAGACTGTAGGTGCAGTGGAGACTTGGCTGCCAGTACAGCGGAAGCTTGGCTGCAAGTGTTGCAGAGGCCTGGCTGCAGGTGCAGCAGTTGCTTGGCTGTGGGTCTAGCAGAGGATTAGCTGTAGCAAAGGCTAGACAGTGCAACTTAAGGCTGCAGATGCAGTGGAGATATAGCAGGGCTTGCTACGGGTGCAGTGGTTGAGACTTTTGAACACTTCATGGGATCAGGGGAGCATAGGCTTTGATAGCTCAGGGGAGCTTACTGACACTTTGATTGAGTGGTGACAAAGTGTCCAGGTCAGGTTTAAACAGTGGGCCAATGCATCACGTGACACATCAGGTAATGTAGCTGCTACACTCCAGGTAAAACCTGAAAATGCCCGTGGTCATGCAAAACAAACAAGGATAGAAGGATGGAACAACGCTGGATTGCAAGAGGTAAGCATCTGTGACATAATGTTACCTCTGAGTTATACTTTGATAAATGGAAGAAAAAACAGACACTGAATTACTGTGAACTGTTCCATCTGTGCTCCATTGTGGAGACTTGGCTCCACACAGTGGGAGAATGCCAGGTTGGCTTTCTAATGCTTCATAAAGAGAATAAAAGCACAGTTCTGCAATATATTTGTTTGTTTCATTTTAGAATATGAAGATCCGAACTATAACAGGAGATACATACTGTACTAAGTCTGGAAAGAAATTTTCTGGACAGTCTCTATCAAAGTTTCTGCTGATTGACTGCGAGCATGTTATTGCTGGTTCCTACAGGTAATATGACTCTTGAAACTTATAATATCCTCATATTAGACTTGAACAAGCCCTCTAGGGTCACCAGGGGTGGCACCCAACCTCCCACACATCCTGCTGTTGGCCATATGCCTAGAACTTTCATCTACACCTACTTTCATGTCCCTAACTATAGGCTCCTTGGTCTGATGGGTGGCCTCATTAACCAACAACAAGCTGCTGAAGGAAGGGATTCACCAGAGCCAGTGAAAATGGATGTATGGCATGATGTATGGCCCTGCTTTTATTGTCTATGAATGCTCTGCAATAAAGCACAAGTGCATGTAGGCACCTGAAGGTCAAAGCTGTATTGACAGCATAAACTTTGTATTAAAACTTGTTTGAAAGTTTAACTAAACAAACTGAAAAGAGAAGCTGCTTGGTGGCTATGGTCACCTGCTCCAGAATCTGCCTGCTCCAGTTTTGATACATTCCCCCCACTGTGTTTAATTATGTCACTAATTTGTTTCTGATTTTGTTCCCATTTTCAGTGATTTGCTTTATTGTGCAGTGACGTAAAATTTATTTAGCATAAGCTTTTTTACACAGTATAGATCCAGCAAACAATACGTTTTGTTTAAAAAAAAAAAGACCTACTTTACTAATTCTGATATTTGCTGAGTCAACGTAGCCTGTCTGCAAACCTTAAAGTGATATTAAACCTTCATATTTTCTTTATTAAGAGGGCCAGACTTGATTGAAATGTCTTTTGTTTCATTTTTAAACATTTATTTTCCCCGTTCTCTAGTTGTCCCCAAACAGCTAGCCCCCGTGTGCAGGTGTCTCCATCAGCATGCCGGCTGCTGAGGAGACATCCGAGCGTGTGCGTTCCCGCAGCTAGCTCTGTGCATCCATAGACACACAAAGCTTGTGGCAAGCCCCACTCCCACAGTCACAATTTGACTGACGGCAGAAGGAGCCTATGGCTCCTCTGCTTATCTATGGAAAGAGCCCTTGAAGCCACCCTGGCAGGACTTTGAAAATGACTGCCTTTATTCGTGTTAATTAATAGTGGCTGATGGGGCTAGTAGTTTACACAAGCTCAACAGGTATTTCCTGTAATTGCTGAAAATGTTGTAATATATAAAAATTTTGTTTTTGGGTTTAGTAACCCTATAACTGTAGGTAGTATAAGACTCCCATGGCATCAAGCAAAATTCACTTGAAACCTGGCTCAGATGCTAGTCCATTTGTTTCAATACCTTCAGAGTTACTGAAATAACAGTATGTAGATTAAGAATTCTGACTTAACTTGGTAAATGCTTGTTCTCAAGTCAGTAAATAAATGTACTGAAGCCAAAGATTGCTAGCAGTTTGAGAATCTGGTCAGCAATAGCAGATAGCATACTTCTTTCAGTACATTTTCTTCAATCATTTCCAGCAGAATGCAATGGACTCTTCATAAACAAAATAAGTTAGGGGACATATACCTTTTATAAATTGTATTATTGTACAGCATTGTTTCACAATCCAAAATCACATCAAACCTGTACCAGATGTAGAATTATCCTTTAAATGAAACTCCTTTCAGAACACAGGGTCAATGTTCATGACTTTGAGATTACACACCTTGTGATTAGGTCCTAGAGATTCCTGTATAAATGTTGTTGTATTATCCTGCCTAGATGCCCATTGTATTTTATTTTCTTATACTTCAGTTTCAGCTGGCTTTCTAGTCAAGCTCACAACAATATGGTGACCTACTTTAAAGGGAACATAGTGGAAGAGTTTGATAAAGAGTTCCGCTGCCTGTATGCCTGTTCATTGGAAGCAGACTATTTCTCAAGTCTTGAAAATGATAACAGCAAGCCTTTTGGACAAACTCCCACAAGGTCCAGATGGATGCCCATAAAAACAGTTCCTATACCTGCACCAGTCATTGAAAATTCTGTTCACTCAGACAGCAACTCTAGCTCCGATAGTCAGTCAAGTGTAAAGACCCCTCCATTTTTTAAGAGCCAGGCCATCACAGTAATTCGTGAAGATAAGCCTGTAATCTCAAAGTACCTGACTAGAAACTTGCATGATACACGAGAAGAAACAAGTAAACAGCCTGTGGACACGGTCCATAATCAGAGACGACAATCAAATCCTCACTCAGATCCGCAATCAGATCAAAATAACCTCATGTTGATGCAAAGACAGGCCTTATCGAAATCTACACCTGATTTGGTTGACAAGCCTTCCTCTGCTCTAAGGACCAAGTTTGAACAAATCCAAAATAAATTTCTCCACCCACCGAATAAAACTTCCCCAAGAATGAAATGTGATGCAGCACTAAATAAAGTCTCTAACTACAACAGCTCTTCCGCTAACAGCAATGTCCCATTGGCTGATATTAAACGGGAAGATGCAAGCAAGAGAATGACCTTGGGACATAGCAAGCTAGCACTTATTACTGAGAGCAATAACAAATTGCTAGAAAGCAAGGTCTACAGTCGCTTTCAGATGCGCCCATAGTTGTTGCAATGTTATGGACTGAACTGGGAACTGATATTTATTACCTGCTTTATATAGGTTTACAGGGTTGGGCAGCCAACAAAGGCTATGGCCAAGGGCTGCAGTGCTTCCAGGGATGGCACATAGTCACCAACACACAATGTTACGGTCATTAACAATGTCATCTGCATCAAAGAAAAGCTGCTCCTGCCAGGGACACCAGACTGAATCCACCTAATACTGCACAACAGGACCCCAAGCTATACTTAGGTCCATGGAGAAGTGTCCATTGATTTAAAAGGTTAATTGAAGTAAATGCACTAATACTCCACATATCAAATGGCGCCTTGACGCATTTCCTACCTAACAGTGGTTAATTTTAAGGGTTTATTATCAAGGTGTAATCTGATGCCTGCTGTATTTGTGCATATGGCTAATCCTTTTTTGGCATCAGTTCTCTTTTGGGTCATAGGAGGACATTTACTAATGCCGGGAAGTATCCTGACATTATTGTTGGGATCAGGGGCGGACTGACAACACATGGGGGGGCAATACAAGATTATGGGGCCCTGTTGTGCTCCGCCCATATACAAGCCCCACCTGCATAAACAATTATTTCTCCACACTATTTTTGAAATAGTGGGCCAATTATCTAAAAGATGAATTGCCAGGGAACAGGTAGTAGAATTTAAAAATCTAGACTAATATAGGCGATTTGTAAAGTGAGCTAAATGGCAGAATGCATGGCAGACCCCAGACCAGAACCAATACACAGCAGACCTCAGACCAGCACCAATACACGTGAGACCCCAGACCAACACCAATACACAGCAGACCTCAGACCAACACCAATAAATGGCAGACCTCAGACCAGAATCAATACATGGCAGATCTCAGACCAGAATCAATACACGGCAGACCACAGACCAGCACCAATACACGGCACACCTCAGATCAGAACCAATACACTGCAGACCTCAGCCCAGCAACAATACACAGCAGACCTTAGACCAGAACCAGTACATGGCAGACCTCAGACCAGAACCAATACACGTCAGACCCCCTGACCAACAACAATACATGGCAGACCTTAGAACAACACCAATACATGGCAGACCCCAGACCAGAACCTATACATGGCAGAGCTCAGACCAACACAAATACACGGCAGACCTCAGACCTGCACCAATACACGGCAGACCACGGACCAGCACCAATACACGGCAGAACTCAGACCAGAACCAATACACAGCAGACCTCACACCAGAACCAATGAATGACAGACTGGGCAGTTAGAATGACACATTCACAACGACATCTCTGGGATCGGCCATCACACAGACTGATCCCTGTGGTTCTGGTGCGGCGGTCTCAACAGGGTCCGGTGCGGCGGTCTCAGCAGGGTCAGGTGTGGCGGTCTCAGCGGGGTCAGGTGCAGCGGGGTCAGGTGTGGAGGTCTCAGAGGGGTCAGGGGGGTGTAGGGTCGGTGACAAGCCCCCTTCTGGCCGCGGGCCCTCAGGCAGTGCCCGACTGCCCGTATGGTCAGTCCTCCCCCTGTTGGGATCCACCCCACTACCTGATTGACAGTTGGCTCTGCCTCTCTAGAGCCAGAGCCAGCCGTGCCCGCCCCCTTCCCTCTCTGTCCCTCCAGTCAGCGCTGGAGGAACAGAGAGGGGAGGGGGGAATCCCTGTGGGGAGCGGTGACTGACAGTTAGTGCTCTCTGCTGGGAGAAGCTGGGAGCTAAGCAATCAGCAGTTTGTGATAGCTCAGTTCTCAATCTATAGAGCCGACGTGATGTATTTCACTCTTCCCATAGTTCTACTTTAATAAACCTCTTAATTTCCACATGCTTTTCTAGTTCACTGCCCTACCTGTCACCACAGTCTGACCAGGTCCTCATTGTTGCTGTCCCTGGGAAGGTTGTGCATTTTTTGGGTGGAATAATGTAGGGGATAAAGGGATAAAACACCAAAAAATGTGCAACTGACATCTTGGATTATTTTTTGTGAAAGGCACCATCATTGATATAAAGCAGCAATCCAGAACACAGACAATTCTGAGGTTGCTATTCTGAGCACCTTTCCGATGACCGGCATTCCTCATCAGCTGATCGAAGGAGTATGCAGAAAAATTGTTGGCAGAATAGAGCTATCAGCCAAAGAGCTGACAGCTCTGTTCGGGTATTCTGACAGCAGCCAGCGGCCATTGTCAGAATACAAAGGAAACAGCAAAGGAAGAATCTGTTTTATTTTCGAGAAAATAGAAGCGTGTATAACCGACTTATCCATTGTTCCATCATACTACTGGTGTGATATAACAGGACAAGGGAAGCACTGGTGAGAAGGAGTGCCTACTGGACAATGATCCACAGAACCTAAACAGATATGCATACAGCTCCACCACTCTGAGAGGTATGAGGAAATATCTTTAGAACTCTATTTTATGTAAATAGAATTTACAAGATTATAATGTCAGCATGAATCATATAGTGCAATTGCATATTACCGCTACTTTGCTCAGTGTATGGAAATGAGGAATGGTAAATTTGACAGTGTCACTGTATCGACGCTGTGGATTACATCGATACGGAAAACACTTCTGCATACACTTGTAATAATAAGTCATATCCTGCTATACTATCTATCATTATGGGTGTGTAATTTATCTGAATAAGTTACAAGTCTGCTCACGTTCATTTGAGTCTGTATTGAAAAGTATTAAAAACAATTGATCAGAAACAGCTATAAAAAGGATTATTTATTGCAGTGCATACACAAAACAACCAACAGGGCCTTATTATTGTCATTATTATACATTTATATAGTGCTGACTGTTTGGGCAATGCTTTACTAGGAAGCAAAGAAAGACAGTACTGTTACAATACAATTCAAGACAAGACAGTTAGGAGGGCCCTGCCAGTGAGAGCTTACAATTTAAAATATAAAAGCATAAAATATGATAATTTTATATGTCAGTCAGTCAGATTCCATCTGTCATTTTTCTAGGGTCAAAAAGAAAATTAAAATGATCTAATTTTATTTCACTTTGAGATGGATTAGATCTTCTGTCAGTTTTTATTAGTCTTTATAGCTTCCTTGGGGAGACGATCCTTCACCTCTTTTGCTAGTGAAAATATGACACCAGTGAGCTTTTTTGAAGCTCAGTGAGGAGAAAGCTTCAAAAAAGACACACACAACAATAAAAACACTCTTTTTAGTAGAATAGGTACTGCAATTCTTTTTTTTTTTGTATAATCTTTATTTTGCCGTTTTCAAATAGTTTCTTTCACAAAGGAACATTTAATGGGCATAAGTGGGTCAAACATAGACCCCGACATCAAAAATAAAAGGTTACAAAAATAATACGACATACATAACCACACAATAAACGGGCGCTCAGCCCAGCTACATCCTACAGGCTCAATCTCAAGGTAAGGGGGTGATGCCTCTGACACCACCATGAGTAACGGCTTAGCGTGCACCTTCTTGTCTCAGCATTGTGTAGACAGGGTAAACTGTATTCCATTGCTAGTGGGCAGCTCACTTATTGGTACCACCAAAAAAGGCCAAAACTGGGGGAAGAGTATAAAGGCCCTGAACCTGAGTAACCTCACATGAGTATAAGTCATGGTGTGTTAGATACATAATGTAAGCACGTTGCCCATTTAGAATAGAAGCGATCAGATCTGTTTCCACTCTTCGCCACCCACTTCTCTGCCTCCTGAATTAGTGTAACTTGTGCTATCCACTCAGACCGTACCGGTACCTGGGTCCGCTTCCAGTGTCTGGGAATGAGTCTCCTCACCGCATCTAAAAGATGAGGCAGGACACTTTTCTTATAAGAGCTAATAGACGTGGAGGGGAGGTGGAACAGCAAGTGAATGGGATCATCTGGTATGTCAACCGTGGTAATAAGTTTGATTTGCATGCGAATATCTTGCCAGAAGCCCCGTATAAGGGGGCATTCCCACCAAATATTTAAGAGGCCACCAGGTTGCCCGCAGCTCCTCCAGCCTTGAGAGGGCACCTCCGGGTATACGGTGCTCAGGTAGAGCGGAGTGCGATACCAGCGGGATAATAGTTTATAACTGGTTTCATGCGTCTTAGAGTCTACAGAGGATTTGTGTGTGAAGCAGTATATCAAGTTCCATTGGTCGTCTGAGAGATCACGTCCCAGTTCCCTTTCCCATTCTCCTATAAACCTCGGTCTATCTCCTGTGAGTGTGGACAGAAGCAGGCCATAAAAATAGGATACCAGTCGGTCTGGGGATGTAGATCCCGCACACAGGGACTCAAAGGGTGTGAAAGAGGACATGGGTCGCATGCCCTTGGCAGTTGTTCCAAAGAAGTGGTGAGTTGTCTATACCTCCAATCTGCCAAGGGGAAGTTACCATACTTGGTTTTAAGTTCATCCAGAGGCATCAGAGAACTCCGGCTGAGGAGTTTGTGGCAGCGGAAGTCTCCCTGCAGGTCCCAGCGTCGACAGAAGGAAACATCTTCCCCGGGAGGGAACCAAGGATAGCCCTCCAGAGGAGATAGCCAGGACAGCGCG